ATATATATATATATATATATATATATATACAGATTATTACTATTTACCAATAACATCTTAAACTTATTTTTCTGATAACATAGAACAGTAAATAAAGAAGTAAACCTAACAATTATCTCTTCTAGTTACGACCTTTCTACTCGGTTGCTGCTTGTCTAGCTTGCTAAGCCTTAAGAAATTTCACACGTGGAGAATGTGAAAGGAAATATTTTTTTTAGGTTTTATATACATATACATTTGAATAACCAAAAAATCATAAATTACTATATCACTACCAGAGAACACAATTATAATTTATCAATTTTAGTAACTAAGCTGTTTTTTTTATGCAGACTAAAGACTCGACTTACCACTATGCCGTCTTGTATCGAAAGAAAGAAATAATGCCATTATATTTGAAAATGGCTGAGAAAATTACAGGATGACATTCTGAGCTTTTGATTGGTTATTCACATGTTATATTCAGAAGTATGTATATATATAATGGACCATTTCCAAAAATGGAAAAAGGTGAGTGGGGTCACTGCATTAAACTGAGTACATGAGCAATATCTCAGCAAATAGAAAGATAGTAGGTTCTTATTTTATACTCTAGCTTGTCAATATCAGTAATTTGAGTTCCTAATTCATAGAAACTATAGAATTTGTATTTTACATCACAAACATTTAATTAGAACCAGTGCTGCATTCAAAATACCACATGACACACAAAAATCAATGTTTAGTTGTGTTTTTTAATATTTACTTTTAAATTAAGAAATTAAATAATGTATAATATTAAAATTTGACTTATAATCTACAGTTTGATAACAAACTTAATGACATAAATTCATAAAAGTAGTTCAATAAAATACTGAATGCGAGCCTTTGACCTGTGTGGAAAAGGTTAATGCATACCCAATGTGACAAAGCAAAAAACACCAGTTAATTTTATTACATTGCAGGAATTTAGGATTTTTGCTCATTAGCAGTCACAAATCTTCATTAGCTACAATGTCAAGATTACCAGTGAGTACATAATCAATAGAAGATTAACTGTAAGAAAAAGAATTACATTCATACTGAAAGATCAATTCTGCAAGATCCACAATGGTTATGTTACAATAATTAAATATTCTACTGCAAGAACATCTAATAGTAGGGAATTTTATTTTACATGTTTTAGGTAACAACTGTTGTTTAAATGTTTCTTTGACTAGATTATAATTTAGTTAGTTTTGTCAAAATACTGAGCGACAGTATAAGATAACCTTTATCTAAATTGTCATTAACTGTTGACAAATAGCAAGTAATTAGAAGCCTAGGTTTCTCATCCAACTGAATGACACATATTTATATTCATTTAAATAAAGGTAAATTTATTAACTAACAGCTGTTGTAAGGTAACGTATAATCCTCTCAGATCTTTAGTTTGACAAACTTCTAGGAGTTCTCATAGTAAGCTTAGCCATGTTTGTTTTGCACTCATGATTACATGGCTAATATGTAAACAATTACAAAAATATGTATTACTAAAAATTGGCATCTTTGAGAAACATCACCTTTATTTTTTAACTCAACCATTAAGCCATAAGTTCAGTGCATAACTGATATAGATTTTCACATTGTGTGAATTATATGAGTTTGTGCAAAAATCTTCAAAAGTGTGCCATGAAGAGGTAAAGTGTTGACAGAGGAAACTTGAGTATTTCTTTTTGGTAGAGAACCTGTGACCATTCTACCTGCATTTTGCATTTTCTGCAACTAACATGTTTTGTGTCTCAATATGATTCTCCAAGACGTATAATGGAGCTGGTGAATGTGTTGTTATATATTAAGTGGTCAAAAGCATTTTCTATGTGCACATTCCTTAACCACTGTATCATTTAAATCATGCAAGTGAGAATGAATCAGACATTTAACACAGATGGGAATTCATTCAATAAGGTGAGTGAAGAAAAAACTTGTAGCATAATAGTGTATAAGCTATTCAAACTGTGCTGCTAGTCGTAAAGTTAACAAAATTTTGATGTACAGAAATATTGATACAAGAATAACTAGTTATGCCTCACTTGGAATACTACTTGCAGTTTTTGTCTCCTTATTTAAAAAATGACATTGACTTATTGGAATGGGTTCACAAGAGGGCTACTCAAATGATTCCTTGGATAGAATGATTTCCTTACATTGGATAGGTTGAGACATCAACTTATTTCTTTTGAAAAAAAGTGAATTAAAGGTGATCTTACTGAAATTTATAAAATTATCTTGGTGAATGAAATGATCAGGCCTCTGATTTCTTTGTGCTATATTCTGAATCTATTAGGATAAGAGGACATATGCTTAAGATTTGATAAAATCAGGCTAGGTTTCAATGAAGACAGTTTTACTTTTCTAAAAGGTGATTTACTAATGGAATGGGTTGCAGCACCAGCAATAGAAGCCAGCACTGCACATGAATTTTTAGAGGGGAATCAATGATTTTCTGAAAAATAAAGGTTGGGTTTAAATGCTTACTTTTCTCATGAATGGATGTGCAAGGACAGCCTTGAAGGATAAAAATGATCCTTTGTTGTCAGTGTGTAATGTTGTAAACCCAGCACTCTTCTTCTCACACTCTCAAAACAACCTCTGCCTAACTCTATACACTATCTGTGTATTTGCTTTCTTGATTTGTTTCTCATCAACTATTTTCCATCCTCTCATAGCACAATCGTCTCCAATGTTATCACTAACTTTTCCTCAAGAAAGCAAGCTTTGCAAGTTTAGAGTGCTGTATCTCTCCAAGCCACCTGAAAATCACTATCAAGCCCATGATTCTCAATCCTGGTACCTATTGTACCCTATAAAGTCCAACCCATTTATTCAGGAACTACCTCTGACCATACTGAAGTTATGTTAACGCTATGTTGATTTTCCACTAATAGTATTATAAATCTAACCACCCAATATTTGTAAATAAAGTTAACATTAGGTATTTCACAGTTTTATAATTAAATTGATGATAAATCTAACATTAAAAATCCCTATTTAATATAATTATTACTGATATTATTACTTACTTGAACTGCAGGTAAAGATGCAAATATTCAGCTATACTTAACTAAATGCTAGTTCTAAAGAATTTGCTAAAGACTTAACAGCTACCAAATAATGCTGTTATTAACAGTATGAATAATAATTTTAACTCTTAATTTAAATAAATTCATTTTACATACCTGACACTTGTGTTGATTCTTTATTTCAACCTAATATTTAAATATACTAAAATACTGCAAATACTTATGAATTATAACCACCTATCTAGAAACAATAATAACATTCCTTTAAATTTTAATATGGAGAGCAAAACTAAACAGTTCTTTCATTAATTTTCAAATGAGGCCTTACCACAGTTTAATTAGTATAAATTGTTCTGGTACTTTAATAAACCTTTTGGTATCAAATTCAAATTTGTTGTAAAAACCTAATTAACTCTTACAACTTCTTTTATTGTTATATCATAATGCATATGGAAAGTTTAACAATAATAAACATTTAACCAATAGCAATAACTCAAAGATTAACCATGAGCAAAGTTAAAAATATATTTAAAAACGTGAAGTTTAAATATCTATTTACACAGAATGTACAACATGAACAGTTTTATTATTCATATTGTCTATTTAGTACTAGTTAGAATCAAATTTTTTACTATTTACACCAAAATTCATAAAGTATCCAACTTCAAGAAAATTATATAAAATAAAACTTTTACTTTTAGTTATGATTTATCCAAATTGGTGTACTCAACTCTCGAGTACTTTATATTTATAATTGTAGTTATAATTACAATTTTTACAGTTTACACTGCGAGTTCCTTCCAAATGACACTGGTTAATTTACCGAGATATTAATATCAATAAACTTATTAAAAATAAAATTACAAAACGAAACTGAAAGTACACAAGTACTAAATTAACAGTAAAACATAAAGTTAAATAACTTAGGCCTTCTTACCTGTCTCTTCCCATATTTCAGATAGAAGTATGCGCGCTTAGTAAAATGTAAAAATAACGACAGTCAAATACTTGACCACACTTTACCTTTAAACTGAACAGTAAGTCTAACTTACTTTACAAGTTCCACGTTATTTTTGACCTATCGAATCTCAATATTATTATTAACTTCCTAAGACTAACAACACAGATACAAAACTTAAATTAAAATAAATTTGCAATTACAACGATAGGCTTACACTGCTAATGCTAATAGTAGCACAGACTACTCAGTTGGTGTCGCACATGTAATGTGTTTGTTTGTTAGTGCTTAAGTTAATGCCAAATTTGTATAGAATAAAACTAGGAAATAAAATAAAAATATGTTTAATAATTATTAAAAACTACAAAATCCTTATTCTATCACAAAGATATAACTCTATACAAAGAAATTCAAATCAACATCCTTTAATTCCAACACTAGGGAACACTAGCAATAGATTCATGAAATGTTTTCGTTTGTTTGTTTGTTTAGGGCAAATGCAGTATATATGCTTCGTTCACCGAGGAGAATCGAACTCCAGATTTTAGTGTTGTAAGTCCGGGAGCATATTGCTGACATAGCGGGGAAGGACTGCATGAAAGGAGGACGGTAGAGCCTAGTAAGAAGATGAAATGGTAGTTTGTTTTCACGGATTGATAACAATAAAAAAACAAAAAAACATTATCAGCGGTATATGAAATTCACAGATACTAGCTTGTGTATCATAACAAATGTAAACTTGAAGTATCCAATATTTTATGGGGTTGTTGTAGAACATTTTCAACGATACAGAAAACAATTTAAATATTAGTATATTCTAAGAGTCAAAAGAAAGGGTTGGCATCACATAACTCAAGCCAGCTGTGTAGGAATCAATTTACAGTCTCAATCCTTTTTCATTCCTGTTGGAACCTGGCTCTATCTATGTAATAACTAGGCAGTATGGAGAAGCATGAAACCAGGCTGGAGGGTAAGCTGTTCTGGCTCTTTTCTGGTAGGAATGACAGAGGACAGCATGGCTAAACGTACTGGTCAAAGAGAAACCCAATGAAGCCTGGTAATTGGGGAGTACACATAAAACCCCTAGAAATGCTGCTTGACCAAGGTATGATGTTAGAACTCCGTCTTTAAATCATTTTAAATCAGGTCCTAAATGTAACCAAGAAGTTACATTCTTTCAACCTACTCACCTGACAGAGCTTCTGACCAATTGAAATTGACCTGACTTTAATTTTTAGTTACCATTTAAGGTCATGTTACTGACATTCTGGCTATCTCATTCTTCAATTAGCCAGTGGTTTTCCATTTCCTGTTGCTGAATATTTTCTGAAGCATTCTACACAGCAAAAAGGAACAACAGTACGATGAAGCCTAGTACTCTCAGGTTTTTTTTCCTAAGAAGGAGTGGACCTCACAATTCATCCTGAGACTCTCAGTGACAGTTTGACGTTCACTATAGAAGAGCCCATGGATAAAGGTACAATTCTTACTGAAGCATCAGACGTGGGAGAGGTCATTACGTCTATCATTGGGTTGTTGCTGAGGTCTCCTTCACTTTGAAACAAGTCGAAGACATAATATCAGAAACAATGTTTCAATGGAAATTAAAATACTGTTACGTCTCCGTTCGTTAATTAACTTTCCGTAACTTCGTTCCGAC